GCTCACCTGACAGTCTGGTCAGCCAGCCAGCCGGCGTCGCACTGGTGGAAGCCGTCCTCGTAGGCAGCCTGCAGCTGTTCGGGTGTGGCGATGATGGCACTGTTCTGCAGGCAGGCCCGCTGTGCCCTGTCAAAGTCCAGCGTGTAGCGTGTGGAGATAGCTCTGTAATGGAACACGATGCCTGCAAGACACGCGTGGGCGGGACAGCAAGTCAGGCACGGCCTCCGGCCATCGAAGACCTCGAAGAGTTGTGGCCATGGTCCCTAAGGGGCCTTAGGGACATCTGCCCCGGGCTTCTAGCTGATGCCTAGACCTCCTCTCCACATTCCCACGTCAAAGACCTGGAAGAGTTGTGGCCGTGGTCCCTAAGGGGCCCGAGGGATATCTGCCCCGGGCCTCTAGCTGATGCCTAGACCTCCTCTCCACATCCGCACATGGCCCTCTTGCCTTTGCTGAAACACCTCCGGTAACAGGACCTCACTACCTCACAAGGTATCTTTTTTGAGTTTCTATAGTTGTGATAATCAGGAAGTTCTTTGAATTCAACTAAAATCTGCCTTTTAATTTTTTCTTGGAACCCCATCTTTTCTCTGGGGAGAGGCGACACTTAGAGCCCCATGTATCCTCAGCCCAGGGGCATCCTAGTGCGAGCCCTGTCCTCAAGCCAACCGAAAGGCCACAACCATTCCCTGTGGGCTATCGAGAGAAGGGAACCAGAGAGACTTCATCTTTTTCTTTGGCTTCTGGAACAGAATGGGGCTGGGGGAGGGGCTGGGGGAGGGAAAAGACACTTGGGTGAAGAGTCACTTCCAGGGAAACTTCAGGCAGGTCACTTAACCTCAGTTTACTAGTCTGTAAGATGGGGAGAAGCACAAGGTCCACTGAATCCTGGGATTGCTGTGCAACGCAAACTTTCATTTACAGGTGACTATGGCTAGGACGTGTTTAATTCCCTCAAAGTCCAGAGAGAATGACAGTACCAGCTCTGTGTTACAGGGGCAGCAGCTGAAGCTAACTGACTTGACTGAGGGAGGTGCAAGCTGGGGGTGGGGGGCAGCTGGGATCTGAAAACCAGCCTGTCTGGGTCCACTGCTATGAGGATACTGTTCTGGCTCTTTCCCCAGGCGAAGCAGCATCCCCGTGGGAGGTCCTCACCTTTCACCACGACCTCCAGGGTAGCCTCGCTGTCCTCAATGCCGTGCATAACCTCACAGCGGTACATCCCAGAGTCATTGGAACGCAGGTTCTGGATTTCCAAGGTGGCGTCGCTGGGGATGGCCGGATAGTTGGGCAGCGAGACCTTGTCTTGGTAGGCACTGTTAACCCGCACCTGCCCTTCCGTGGCCACTAGCAACACTACCTCCTTCTCCTTGGAAATGCGGCTCCACTTGATTCTCGGGGAGAGGGGGGCGGTGGAGGGGGCGGTGGTCACGGGGTGCATGGGGTCGATGAAGTAGCAGGGGATGGTGAGGGAGCTCCCCAGGAGGACCCGCAGGGGGGACGGTTCGGGGATGCTGACACTCAGCGAGTTGTCAGGGTCTGTGGGGGAGAGACAGAGCTGTTAGTGCCGAGAGAGGACCGCCCAGCCTCCCTGTCATTTTGGAAATGACAAAAGCCCGTAAGCGTGTCCGTATCTATGGTGGGGGCCGTTCCTGTGCCATCGGGAATTCCCGGGAAGCGTTGTTACACCTTTTCCAGAGCAGCGTTCCTCAAGCCCCCTGGTCTCTGTGCCACGAGACAGGAACTATGGAGCTGGAAAAGGGCTGCAGAGGAGGGCAAGGAAAGCTCCAAAGCTGACAGCCTCTTCTCTGTTCCTCAAACTGGGGTACCCCGGGGGATGCCAAGCCGTAAGACAAACAGGACCATCTTTCTGGAGTGACAGCTTGACTCAAAGATTTTTGGGGAAAAAAATCATGTTGGGGCAGGAAAGATTATTATGGGGAAGAAAAAAAAATCCACACAATGTTTAAAGCTCCGATGCGAAACTTCAAAGGTGTGTCCCAGCTGAGGGGGTCCACTTTGGACTCCGTCCCGACTTTGCTGAGGGATAAGGCATTCTCTTCTGCTGTTGGGGAACGGAGCGGGGGGAGGGGGGGGGTCTGACACATTTACATATGTCTGCAAAGAATCAGACCGGGGTGGGGGGGTGGATGATCAGCTCCACAAAAACTCATGGAGAGTGTTAGTAGGGACCAAAATCCTGACCAAATCCTGTCAGAAATAAAAGATCCTCCTGGGATGGGAAAGAAACAGCTTTTGCAAAAATAGCATGTCATACACTTATGGCCCTCCCCCCCTTTTTTTTCCAGGAGAGCCTACAGGTTGACAATAAAAATGCTCCAGATATTTGTGGGTGGTAGACACACAACAGGGCAAGGAAGGGGGTGCCAGGAATGTTTGGGGTCCAGACCCAACCTTCTGATGTCCTGGGCAGCCACCACCAGGTCCTTCCACAAAAATCTCCCTCTGAGGGCTCAGCCCATGCCCCGTAACACAGCATGGTTTTAGCGCTGGCGGTTCTCTGGGGAGAGCTAAGAGTGACAGCAGTGTCCAACCCTGCCGTTTTTAAAGCTCTCAACCAACCCTAGGAACCGGTTTGCCTGTGTGGACAAACCACCCAGGTTACGGCCCGGGGCCGGGTATCTGTGGGTCCCAGAGAAGGAGTACAGATGGAGACCCATAGAGCCTGTGTATAAATATTTAAAAGTTATAAATCAAGGCCACAGATTGTTAAATAAAATATGTTCTATTTTGCTATTGGACAATGATACCTTTCAAAAGGAGAAGCCAGACTCACATTTAGAATTCTTGGATTCCTTGGAGTTTTGGATTGGGTGGCCATGCAGGAGGCCGGCTTCTCTGCCACGTCTCTGCTCCGTGAGGGCTCTGTGCTTACCCCAGCCCTCATGCCCCAGCTACGTCCACACCCCATACAAACGGCCACCCCTTGACTCCTCCCACGGGCCTGGGGTAGCTCACACCAGGGGAATGGTCCCCCGTCTAGGAGGATGGGCCCAGAGGAGACACCTATGTGTCTCTGGAAGTGGCTTGGGTCCACTTGGGCAGGGAATTAGGGGCATCCTAGGTACCCAGTGTGGTCTAAAGGGGGAGCATAGATCTGTGTGGACATATCTCATTGGCCCTACAGATTCCTCATCCTTTAAGGAGCACTGGGGCTGGAGGAGGGCCAGAGGAAGGCCTCTACAGTGCATGGCCCAGAGCAGGGGCCTCTCTGGCCTGGGTCTAAGGGAGATACAGCCCACTTTGGGGCAAACCCGTCCTGGGGTCAGTGGATAGTTTGTTCATTTGGTTTAGGGCCTGATGACCAGAAACCCACCTAGTGCCTGCCACATGTAAGAGACCATGGGGGGGGGGGGTCTTCCCTGAGGATGGCTTGCCTAGATAAACAAAGACCTGTGTGATTTGTTGGTGGCTTCTTTCTGACCGCTTCTCAAGCAAGTTTCTCTTTGATATCCCAGTTGATCCTCCCTTGCTGGCATTTCCTCTTTTGGCTTATCTATATCCTGCCTCTACCCCAAGCTCAGTACGTGGCAATTTGGGGTAAGGTCCACAGAGGGGAGACTGGGAAGATGGCCACCTGCCAGGAGCTCTCCCCCTCATGCTCTCTGTCCATCCTAGAGGGCAGCCGGGAGAAGCAGTACCCAAGCAAGGGCTCCTGGACGCACGCGTGTCGCCCTCATCCCTTGTGGTTAGCCTTGCCTTCGTTCGATAGGAAAGAGCCAGGGCCAGGAAAAGGCCAGGAAAGGGGAAATCATAACCCTGGGAGTAACAGCACTAAGTTCGGGACCCAGTACCCAGAATCCGGTCTTCAGTGCGTGCTGGATACACGAGACACGCACGGGAGCGTCCTCACCTGAAGCTTCTATTGCGCTGGCTGCTGTAATGACCCTCAGAGTCACAAACACCAAGAGTAAAGTGGTCATAGTTCACCTGGAAGAAGGGAGGCAGAGGAGTTAGGTTCAGCTACAGTGCGGTTGAGGGTCACGTGGGCATAGGACGCAAGGTGATAAATTCCACGTGCAGGGATCTGAAATCACATCAAGATAAAGAGGCTACATGTGGTTGGAGGGATGCCTTCTGCAAGAATCCTCTCGTCACAAAGCCTTCACAGGTTTCTCGGTTTCATTGCACGTGGCAGGCTGGAAACCTCCTGTCCTTTCTAGGCAACCTCCCATCTTCTAATCTGCAAAGGCTGATCTGGAAGGATCCCTGTGATGGTTGATTTTATATCAGCTTGACTGGGCCCTGGGGTCCTCAGGTATGTGTTCAAATGTTATTCTGGGTGTGTCTGTGAGGGTGTTCTTGGGCGAGATGAGCATTTAAGTTGGTAGACTAAAGCAGCTTGGCCTGTTAATATGGGTGGGCCTCATCCAATCAGTTGATGGTACGAATAAAACAAAAAAGGCTGAACCTCCCCCAGGAGAGAGAGAGAATTCCTCTTTCCTGATGACCTTCAAACCGCCTTCAGACTTGAACCCAGACAGTGGCTCTTCCTGGGTCTCGAGTCTTCAGAGTCAGGCTACAACGACACCCTGGTTCTCCTGGGCCCCCAGCTTGCCTGATACCTCTGTAATCATGTGAGCCAAGTCCTTCTAGTAAATCTCTTACTCTATGTATGCATACCTCCAGTTGCCTCTTCCTCTCTGGAGATCCCTGTCAGAATCCCTGAGAAATGAAATGAGTTAGCCAACCTCCCTGATGAAATCCAGACCTGTCACCAACTTCAAATTCAAGAACCTTGTGTGTTTAGGATGAAGAATGCTCCAAGCTTTCGTGCACAATTCAGGGGCCTGCTTCAAGCCAGGGGAAGGATGCCCACCCAGAGAGCTCTTGAGGAGGCTCAGGGACGGGCAGGTTAATGATGTAGGAGGGCAGTGAGAGTCCGGGACCCCCGGAGCCCTCCTGCTGGCCTCAACAATGACTTCATGTGCGTCAGAAAAACCCTCCTTTTCTGCTGGAGAACTGTCACGCCAAGTATACAGATATGTGACAATCACATCATAAAGGCATTCCCTGCACAATTGGGCTCTTGACTCCCAAGTGGACCGTGCACAGACCCTCAGAAGACCCCATTAAATTTCTAAGAGGTCAGCCGGAGCAGTGATTGTCAGCCTTGGCTGTGCACTGAAATCACCTGGGCGTCAGCCTGGTCTTCAGGCATTCAGAAGCTCCCAGATGCTTCTAATGTGCGGCCTAGATGAGCACCGCTGGTTAGAGGGTGTGCAGTCACGCTGCGGAGGCCTGTGACTGGCACTCCCTGACACGTGCCCGACGACGTCTCTTGAGCTCTCCTGCGGGAGGGTCCTGTGCTGGGGCCCATCCTGCCCTCCTCTCCGGTGTGGGAGCATTCAATTTTGGTTTGAGAAGTGTCTGCATCACAGATGCTCCTTGGGGAGGAGAGAGGCAGCCCTGGAGGGGGAGGGGGTGGAGGATCTGGAACTAAAGACATGAATGGAGCTTCCGGGGGCTTTGGGAAGCTGGGGTGACGCCCCCGGGTTCTCTGCTGGGTCAGAGTCTGATGGCCCAGCAGGTGTCGCTGTTGGCTCAGTCACCATC